TGAAATAATTTATAGGGAAAAGTTTTATTTTTTAAAATAAAAATATTCCACAAATGTTTGTTTTCTAAAAAGTTTCCAAAAAACCTGTTGTTAAATAGATTCCTTGTCATTCTTTTGTCATTAAATATAATTTTCAACTGTCATTCTTTATTTATTTGTTTTTTTTTTTTTTTTTTTTTTCGTGGCACTTGAAAGGCATTTGTTCGCATTTGTTTGCATTTGTTTGGTGCTTTCAAAGTTTGCATACTCTGAATGCTTCGGCTTGTGGCTTTAATGAAATATTCCACCGACATGGCCACATTTCAATTACCAACTTAACCAAGTGCGTCGCACGCTTTTCACTTATTTCTAGCGGGGAAAAAAATATAAAAATAAAAATACAGACAAACCGAATACTGAAATACCCTGGAATATAAATTTTATTCTTCTAAACAGGTTATATATATATATATATAAATGATATAAATATAAATAAACCTGGAGAATAACTATACCCTACCGAGTTCATAAAAAAATCAAAATAAAAACGGAAAGCCAGCAAATTACGCTTGGTTAGCGCTTTTGGTGGGGATACCGCCTTAATTCCCCGTAGAAAAAAAAGCAACAAAAAATATATATAAAATAAAAAAAACATTGTAAATAGGATGGTGAAAAACAAATGGAAAGCGACTTACGGCAAACAATTAAAACAAAGAACGAAATAAAATATAAAACAAGGAGCCAAGGCGGAGCGAGTGAAATCTTTTGATTAAGTGCTGGCTGAGGGGGCGGTGGGCGTGGCCAGACAAAGGGCGTCAGCAATTAATTTATGAGGCCCACTCAACGCACACACACACACAAACAGAGACACACACACACACACACACACAAGCATATTAATTAATTACTGTGATTTCTTTTAGCGCATTTGTTTTCCTTTTTTTTTTATGCCCCGCCACGCCCCCCGATTTGCCCTCCCCTTTTGATTTATGGACGTCGACTGCGCTGCTCTCAGCGTATTTACTGCTTATTACCGAGAGCCCCAACAATAACAACAGTAACAATGGTGGTGGGGCAAGGGGGTAAGGCAAACTGGGGGCGGTGTCAAGCGGGTGGAAATTGTGGGTCAGCCTGGCTGGGAATTTTTCACCCCGCAGAAAAGAGAGGGAGGAGGGCGGAGGCAGAACGCAGAGAGGTCGCGGCTACATTCTTCTTTCTGCCCGCTGTCATTGCCGCTGTATTTTGTTTTGTTGCCTCTACTTTTCACTTTGTTTTGTTTCTTTTTACCCCGCAATCCGCGGTTCGGGGAGGGTATATAGGCTCAGGGATCAGTGGGTAAATATAACTATTATTTATATAAAAGAAAAGGCATTTAAAGTTGTGGTTTATATCGTAAGTATACGGGAAGAGAGTGACTGATAAGCGGGTTTTTTGTTTTAAAAATAAGTAAAATACTTGGATTGACTTTTAAAAATATTTTAAAATAAATAAATTAACCAAAAATAAGGATTAATTCATTTTTTTAACAGATTCCTTCAAACAAAACTAGCACATTGAAGTTTTAATCCTAATCCTTAATACTTTCTTGGTAATTTTTCTCTCCAGATAATAGGATAATAGGTATCCCTTAGTCTTAACACTCTTTGTTATCTCCTGCCTGGCCTTTTCCCACAATGCGCTTTATGTGCACGTGGCGCGCCTTCGAGTGTCCATTGTCTTGTGTCCCCGTCTGGTCCCAACCTCCTTTTCCCCTGCTCCTGCTCCTACACATTCTCCAGATTTTCCTCGCTTTTCTCTGGGGCCAATTGTCAACTGGCCAAGAACAACAACAATGCCAACACTGGCAATGGCGAGCAGGAACAACAATCAGTTAAGTTATCCTAAATAAACACATTTTCCAAGCACGCAGCGCCAGCAGTTTTCCACCCGAGCTCAAGCCCAAACTTGGGTAAAAACTCTGAAAGGGAAATTTGCTTTTGGTCTTTGCGCTGGGCAAACTGTTGCTGGCCAGCAGCAGGAGCAGAAGGACCAGGACCAAGACCAAGGCTAAGACGATGCCGTTGTTGTCCAGGTTTCGAAATTAAACTCGAAAGAAAAACAAATTAGGCAAACGCCGGACAAAGCGTTTCGTCTGCTGTTTACCCACTGGAAGAGGGGGATCTAAGGGGGTGGTGAAAATTAAAAGAATTCGCCCCACTGGCTGTTGTCCTGGCGGGGGCCAAAATGATTTGTCAGTGTCCCTGCAATGGTAATTGTCGCAGTCGCAGAATACGCGCAGTGTCCTGGGCTTAGTCTCTCTAATGGACATGGTCTTGACTTGTGCCAGGGATTTCCAGACAAATACCCATTCATTTGGTGTCCATCAATCTTCGGCCAGACTCCAGGTCCTGCCAATTATCGATTCATCAATCGATTTATTAATTGTTTGCCATCGAATGTATCGAGGTGGAAACCAGTGTGACAGGTATTTAAAAGCGCGTTTTTTGTGGCATTTGCATATTTCATAAACACGTTCTTATTGCCCGGTTGTCAAGTGCAAAAGTACAGTGCGTTTCATTGCTATAGAATTTTAAAATATCGAATTGAAAATCGTTTGCTAAGTGGTTTTTTGTTGGGTTTTTATCTAAGCTTTAACATAACCTGGTGGCTTTTGTTTATGATTTTTTTGGTTTATTTATTTAGCCTTATTGTTATGAAACGCACTTTTTTTTGTTTATGGAATGCCAGTATCCATGCATTAATATGTATATGCCGTTGTATATAGGTCATCGTAGAGCTTCAAGTTTGGCTGAAATGCTGGAAAAAACGGAACCTTCATGCAAATGAACATATCTGTGGGTTGATATGAAACGCATAAAGCTCTTATATGCAGTACACTAAAACAAAAGTATGGGTTTAAAATACAAGTTATGTTTACTTGAAGTTGAGAGTACATTTTTAAAAAAATTTTAGGTAAAGTTATCGAAATAATTAAAGGGGAATTGGTTGTATAGATGCACTTGGTGCTTTCGAAAAATATAAAAAATAGGTTATAAATATATATATATATATATATAAGTTAGATATATATACAATTTATTTATAAATACATAAAATTTCTTCAGGCTTACTTGACCTTCATTTCAGCCTTGTGATCCTGAAATTCTCTAAGCAGTCACCTGGTTTTCATAGCTTGCAAGATCTAAGATTTTCCTGGACAGCTAAGGCAATGAGTCAGCCTTTTGGTAGGTGTACTAGTGTGTGTGTAAATATATAAACACACTAACCGAGGCCCTGTCTCATATAGGGTACATATACATATATGCATTATAGATGCAAAGTCTGTGGCCCACTGTCCCTTTGCTCTGTCCATCATCTAGAGAGGCGGTTCAGGGGCGTTTCAGGGGCGTCGACAAGGGGTGGAGCGGGGGCTTTCTGGGGCTGCAGGGTATGTAGACTCTCCTATCGCACAGGCCATTTCATTTTTAATAGTTTCAGTCGACGGCGGCGTCGGCATTTCATTTGCCGTTTGTTTACTTTGCAAACTGGGTCTCGTCTCGGCCCCCTCGTCAGCCCCTCGTCAGCCCCCTTCTGTCTTACGTTTTCCGCAAATCAAACAGAAAACGCAGCAAAAAAAAAAAAAAAAAAAGAGCGATGAAATTTTCTTTTATTTTTATTTTTTTTATTTTTCCCTCCTTCACAGTTTTTGTTTTGTTTTTCAGCATTTATTGTTGATTTATGCGCTGCAGCGTTCACTTTAAACCAGCGTTGAACTTCTACCTTTTTCCCCAAAAACATTTTCCGGCTTTTCCGCAGGTAATAGGTTAGACCAATTAGTAGGGCACATGCAAATACCCAGTTGGGGTTTAATTTTTCTATTTAAATATGAAAATGGTTAGAGAAAAGTACAGTTGAATTTTGGTAATTTTGGGGATTTTTAAGCTTGAAGAAAGTGTGCTAAAAAAAGGTAGTTAAAATTGAATTTAAGTAAATATATAAGTAAAATTCCTACACCTTAAAGCTACCTGATATTGACCATAAATCGAGTATCCTTTGATATCAATTTCAACTTCAAATGACTGAATCAGAAGTGTCTTTAAGGACATAAAGCCAAGGACAGCCGAGTGACACATTTGTCGCCTGCCCAAGACTCTCTCTCTCTTTCTGTGTGTGTGCGTTAATCCGTTCATATTTTATGACCCTCGTATGCCATAAAATCAAAATAAAACCCAGAGATACCCCACTCCTGGCAGAAGCTGCGCCAAAATCCAAGCCAAAGATGGAGCCATCGGGGGCATAGATATAGCCCGCCCAGACCTCGTCGGGCTTAAGCCAAGCATGCAAAAGCTGAGTAACTGCATGTGTTTATATATAGTCATAGTTATAGTCGTGGCTATAAAACCAGGATTTGCATAGCATCCCGGCCAGATTTGCATGCAGATGGCGGCGTCGGCACTAAGTTCGACATTGTTGCTCATTGCGACCAACGAGCTGCATCTAATGCAAATGCACAAATGCGATTTATGACGAGCCACGAGATATACACACATGGCCTGGCCTGGCCTGGCCTGACAGTGTCTCCTCCTCCCCACACCCTCCCCATCCACACTCGGACACGCATAACTCGCAGAATCTCGACAGGACCTCTGGGGTCTCCCCCGCCTGCGCGTCCATCATCCATCATCGGGCCTGTCTGTCAGCTGGCCCATTAACGCTCCGGGTCTGGGTTCGGGCCATGGTCATATCACATGACCGCCGGTCATGGCTTAGGCCAACATTTGTCTCTCTCTCTCTCTCTCTCTAGCTGGTTTTTCCCCCTGCGGAAATTCAATGAAAAATATTTGATTAATTGTCCTGAAATGGGAATTGTTTACCTAGTTCTTGGTTTTTCGTTTACCATTGAAAAGGAGTGGATTAGCGGTTGATAAACATTTTGGGTTTTCTGTGAGGAATATATTAAAATGTTGGTTGGTCACTTTTATATTTGTTTTTGTAATATATATATATATATTTAATAAATATTTTTATTTATTTATTTACAGGCACTTTTTCGCATTTTTTGGAGCTTGAAAAATGTAAGTAAACAGATTTTTTAATGTAAAATTTTAAATATTTGAAATAAAATAGGGAAAAATATTTATTTAATAAGCATAAAGTATAAATATATAACTAAATTATATAAAATACACAATTTAGAGTGAAAAGAGAGCAAATCAAGGATTTTTTCAATTACCAGAAATTTTTAAAATAAAATAGTGAAAAATAAAATAGTAAAAAATATTTATTTAATAAGCTTAGAGTATAAATATATTTTAAAAAATTTCTTTATTATATAAAACCCACAATTTAAAGCTCAAAGCGAGCAAGATGACTTTTCCAATTACCTGAAATTATTATAATTAGACATTCACAAAAGGCTTCAGAGCGGGCTTAGCTGCCCAGTTTGAGAAGCGCAGAGAAGGCACCTAAGCAGCTGTCAGCCTTGAGACGATAATCTCTACCTAAGAGAGAGAGAGAGAGAGAGAGAGAGAGAGAGAGAAAGAGAGAGCTAGAGACAGGCAATGACCATCGTCTGCTGTTTAAAGCGTAAGCTTTCCAGAAAAATTTTCAACGAAATTTTCCCGAGCAAAGTATTCGATTTAAATATTTTATTGGTGAAAAGTTTGCCTCTCGCTTACTCTCTCTCTCTCTCCCTGACAGAAACCTCATTTTTGGGTTACCTTTACCTACAACAGCTACAGCTCCTGCTCCGGCTGGGGCTCCAATCCTCTCGCCTGCTGTCCAAACCCCTCGGGGGAAAACTGTTGCATTATTCATTAGGGTTGGAGAATGCCGTGAAACAACATGGCGACGCCTGTTCCTGTCCCTGTCCCTGTCCCTAGCCCTGGCCCGGCTAACAACTTCCGGATGGGGGAGATCTGGACGGGAGCGGAAATTGCAAGCATGGCCAAATAATGACTCACCCAGACAATTCGGTGGGTGGGCCATTGTGGGGAGTAGAGAAAAGTAGAGTGGGAGGTGGCCAAATCAGCGCACTTGTCAAACATGTTGATGGACACTTGAAAGGCAGCGTCGACGCCGAGCAAAAGGTATCTATATGTATATATTTAAAGGAAAAACCCAGGGCCGAAAAAATAAAAGCCAGCTACTGGCACTAGGTAAAGTGCTTTTAAAAATACATTTTTCCAGATTTTTTAGAAAAAAGATAAGGTTCTTTTAAGAGAAACATTTAAGGGTATGATTTAAAATTGTAAAATTAATTTGTTTAGCAAAGATATTCTCTTTAATAAATTTTAAAATAATTTTCTAACTAAAAACATAAGAATTCTTTTGCTTACTAGTTTTATTTTCAAGTTGAATACATTTTCCTATGATAATGAGTTTCCCTGCCGTTGGATTCTACCTTTCCCTCTACTTATCACTATTTTGTAGTCTGTTTTTTTTAATGGAAATGCTCTTTAGCTTTGCCTAAAAATAGCTTCAACAGTTTCGTGTGAGTCATAAAAAAAGCCAGCTATGAAATATGTTTAGTCTGCTGCCATCGAAACTTCTGTTTCTCTCTCTCTCCGCCGTTGAACAACATATAATATAAATAAATACATATATATTCATTCAGGGTGGAGAAAGGCAGGCAGGCTGGCAGGCTGGCAGGCAGGCATATCAAGCATACGCCATGTGAGCCAGGGCAGGGCTCAGTAAGTCAGCCATGCTGGCGCCGCCTGCTGTCAACGCAGTCAAGTTCCATTTGGATTTTCAAGTGGTTTATACCCGATATATGTACTGCCACACACCGTACATCATCTACTCAATATCACACATGTGGCACGGCACATATACCATATCAATTTCTGGCCATATCGGGCCCATGTCTAACGCCGCAAATGATTTATTTATTTATTTGGCAAATGCAACAAAAAAAAAAAAATACAGAAAAGTGACGCAGCTGCCGCGATATCGCTACAGAGTCCCACAGATCTATATATCTACTATATATATCGGAATGCAAAAAGGCTCTAAAAAAAAGGGGGGAACAAAAATACTATGGAAAAGCCAGAGCCAAAAGCAACAGCAGTTTTTCCCGCCAAACAATTTGATTGAGCGCGTGAATAGAACACATGTTCCTGGGATTTTGGCAAGGGGGTTTTATTTTTTCTATTTTTTGGGGGTTCTTTTTGAAGGGGAAAGAATTTAAGAGGAGGTTAAATGTATTTTGGGGGAACTTAATCACATTTTTCGAGGGGTTCAAGCACGGGAATAGTTAGTTTTCATAAAGGATAGATTCATTTAGTTGATTTATTTTTAAAATTAGAGAACTTGTAGAAGGCTTGAAAGAGAGAAAACCTTAATTAGCATTGATTTTAACTTTAGTTAAAATTATTGAGTAAATTGTTAGACTTGATCTGGGTTTTTTAAGACATTAATTAAGGTTTTCCTTAAGGCCTCAAAGTTTTTAAGCACAGACTCTTTTCTTAGCATTTTCCTAAAAAAATATGAATTATATTAAATAAATTATAATTAATTAATTATAAATTAGAAATTATATAGTTTACTATCAATGTTATTCCCATCAACCAGATAAACTCTCAAAAAGTCTGTTTTTAATCTTCTGAACTAGATTTTCCGGTTTATTTATAAATATAATCATATTAAAATAATAATAAAGCCATTAAAAATCTATAAATTATATAGTTTTCTATATAATTATTCCCTTTTACCTATTAAACCCTTAAAAAGTCTTTCTTTAATCTTAAGTAACCCAAAAACTAAGCTAGATCTTGAACTTCCCATAAAAGTTTGTAATTAAAATGCCATATCTTCTGAGCAGCTCAGATTTATGGCTTTTACATGTCCATATGTAAGGGGCATGTATCACTCTGTAATTGTATCTGTATCCTTATCCTTATCCTTCTCCCCCCCTCTTGGACAATTACCGAATCTCTATTTGACAGACTGAGGAATGAACTGGCTCAAAGTTCTGAGTTTTGGGAAATTGCCTCATTTCCCAGCAGTGTTTGCCGGGTAAAGTTTGCTCTCGTTCTGTCTCTGTCTCTGTCTCTGTCTGTGTCTCCTTTCCCCCTTTTCCTGGGCTTTTTCCTCTCTCATTTTCCCCCGCTCCCTGGGCGTCTGTCATTAATTACGAGCTGGGCCAGAAGCACCGACGGTTTTCGGTAGATCATTAGTCCACTTGCTAATGGCCCACAAAACAAAAGGAAATATTCTTTCTCCCTGTCGATAGAGCGCTGGTTCTCTCTCTTTCTGTTGCTCTGTCTCTTTCTCTAGCTCTCTATTTTCTTCTCTATCGTGGGCACTTAATTATGAAATTATGTCTTTTGTCATTTACTTGCTGTTTTCCCCACAAAATGCGTTTTCCTAGATTTTCACCCCCTCAACAAAATCATTTTGGTTTTCAGCTCTTTTTTCTTCTTTTATTTTTGCATTAAAGTGAATACTGGTTAAGGGGGAATTTTGAAATGTTGTTTTTTTAAGTTTTATTTTTTATATATTTATACTTTTGAATTTTTAAGATTTATATTAAAGAGCTTAAATAAATAATAAAATATAATAAATATAAATAATATAAAGTAATGCCGAAAAGAAAACCTTTCAAGAAAATCATTTCTTCTAGACTTTTTCTTCAAAAAAATATTCAATATTATAAAATATAAAAAATATATAAGATATATAATTTTAAACCTTAATTTTGTATAAATTTAATAGCTTTTTAATTGAATAATAAACCATATTTTAAATATTCTTCCCTGTGACATTTCTAAAGAAATATTTAAAGATTTTTAAGAACTTGCATAAACTTAATTACCCCTTAATTAAATAATTACTAAAAATCCTGGCAATGTTGGGTCTCAAATTTAAATTACTTTCCCCTGTGTCATTCTTTATAGCCAGTCTCCACTGTACTTGATTCAGTTGCCAAAGTTGCGGGGGCGTTGAGCTGCGGCGGCAACTGAAAACACATGTTGCTAGAGGGAGCTTGGGAGCTGGGAGCTGGGAGCTCAATGTGGCTGTGGGTGGGTTGATGTGGCTGGCTCTTCTCGAGGGCCGAGAAAGTCCTTTGAAAAAGGCGCAACAGCTGCTGGCTGTAATTTGGCAGCGCCAACTGCCACGCCCACAAAGCCAGCAGCAGCAACAGCAGTAGCTTCTCCTCTCGTCTAATTGCGTTGCTTTCTGTGGGAATTCTTCAGTTTCAGAACGAGTCGCAGCCTCAGTCTGAGTTCCATCTTCTTGGCTGAAATGAAATTTACATTTTTGACTTCATTTAACTTGGCAACTGTGTGGCATCTGAGTGGTGCACGCTTTGTGGCACACTGACATATGCCAATTGACTTGCCACTTGGTAATTTAATATGTGTGCTTTCAGTGCTCAGTGCTCAGTACCCCCAATACCCACCCGCACAACTCGTTAACTTTCATCCCAATGTTTGGCCAAGGACACCAAAGCCATTGTTCATTCATTCTTGTCGCAAAAGTGGGCAAATTTGAGGGGTAAATCAAAGTGAACATTTCAGTCCCGGGCGCGAAGCCATTGTCCGATGGCCTTATGCAACTTTAATTGAATTGCACGCTAAGCCGGAGGGCCAGAACATGGACATGGACAGGGACAGGGACAGGGATGGGGATAGGGATAAGGATACGAACAGGGACACGGGCAAGGACATGGACATCGACATGAATGTGGATGTGGCGGTGAAACAGACACTGAGCTCAACAAGCAGGCCTTGAAAATAACCAAAAACCAAGTCAGTATCTAAAACAAATCATTATTATTCTTAAAGCCAAGTCTTGTCAGGTTTTAAATATTAAATTTCCCCTTGAACTTTACCTTAAATCATTCATTAAAATCCCTGGTCAATCCCCCTAACAATAAATTACTTTCAGTCAAGTGGCTACTTAGCAACTTGACATCTTTCAAGCCTCAAAACTTAAGCTCTTTCTTTGTGGAGATTTCTCCAAGTGTGGACAATGTGGACAAGGACAAGTTCGTTGCGATGAAAGAAAGAAATTTTCATTAGATTTATTGATTGCCCAATGGATTGCCTCGAAGCTTTTGGCAGTAAAT